CTTGCTATTCCTGCTCTGGTGACGCTCCACCCAAATACAAAAGGTGCAAGGCGCTGTCACCCTACCAACTAGAAATAAGGCTCCCTCTTTTGGTGCCTTTTGCCATCTCTCTTGATTTAAAAAAAAAAAAATGGTGTGGGTGTGTACACATGTGCACACACACACTAAAAAGTCAATTTCCTAAAATCAAGTGGGCAGCTGGCTTTTGGTGGTAATAGTTGTCCTGTGGCAATCAGAGAGGTCTGTTACACTTAACAAGACTAAGAAAACTCATTTCAATTCAGATGTTGAATACATGCAGGAGAGTAAACCAGAGGATATGTTTTTAAATGTGCAAATACCATAATGTAGGAATAAAAATTACACCATTGCAGTAGTCCACCTGAGCAAGACTAATTGGAGAAGCTAGACCCCAGGGCTTCATTCATTCCTCATCTGTGACCCCTGGCTATAGTCTATGGTGAGACCCACTGTTGTACAGAAAGATGAAATTTCACTGGGACTTGGGAATTTTATCTTACTATTTTAGTTGATTCACACAAATGCTTTCTGCAACAAATTTGTGTTTCTTCTGTAGCACAGTCACAGTTCGATTCACTAAATGCAGGCCTTCTGCGACCCACCCAAAACCATCTACAGGGAGGTCAATTTCACAGTAGCATAAATTTATTTTAATTTAAAAAGCAAAGCAAGACTTGGGAGTCTAGTCTCTCTTTCACAGTTCAGAGAGATTTCTGAATGTACCGGGAGGTCATTGTCATGCTCAGGCTAATGGCAGGGAGCAGCACTCTGCAGAGAATCCGGCTTTTAGGTGGCCCTTGCACCACTGAAAGAGGATTAAAATGCCCCCCCCCATGTCTATCAGAGGGGTTCATTAAATTTTTTAAATTCATAGTACTAGTTTTGTTACAAGGTTGGTAATTCGTTTTGGTGATGAAAAACTGAGGATTTAAAAAAGCCTGTTGAAGACAATATTTGTAGCATTGTACCCAAGCTGAGTGCCTGTGACCCTCCACATTCCCCATCCAGGACCCTGGATCTCCTAAAGTGAGACCCGAAGGAGCCTCAGAAAATACGATCAAGTGGTACTTGCTACTCACTTTCTCAGTCTGAATGTCATTACTGCCAGTTCTGCCCTGGGGCAGAAATCATCCTCATTGACCAGCTGGTGCCAGCTTGCCCAGGAGGCAATTATTTCAATAATCTGGACCCAGGAGCCCTTTTGGTGGCCACACCTCTTCCTCTTAGTTCCTCCTTTCCTCACCTTCCCCAGACTCAGTTTCCACTACCCCAGAACTTTTACTTGTCAATTTTCAATTAGTTTAAGAGGCCAGAGGTCCAGAATGGGTGATCAGAACAGAAGAAACTTTAATTTGAAAAACATCGGAAAGTGAAACTTCTGTATCAAGTTTTTCTCAAATAAGGTAATGAGGGCAGGAACAAGTGTGAACCCAAAGCCAGGATTTCAAACAATAAATAAATAGCAAGGGAAGCTCTGATGTAGAAGCGCCACCTGATTTGATTGACTCCAACCCAGAGCCTTCACTGCTTCTAGTTGGGCAGGTGGAGAGGGCTCAGGACCCACTCCCATACTGTGGAGGAAAAACCACGAGAAAAAAGATTTTGCCGGCATTTCTCGTTCTGTTTGAACATCATGTTTCTATAGGGGTATTTTTTACTTCCTTGGTTTGGGTTCTTGTGTATGCCATCACTTGAGAAATTATCCTTAGGGAATGTTAAATAAGAAATCTCCAAGAACTGAATACTGTCGATGCAGATGGGCTCAACTGTCACTGTGCTGCTCCGATGACAGGCTCAGGACTTCACTTAAGAGGGGACACATGCCCCTAGCCTGTCCTGGGACACTGACTTCAGTCTCTTCCTTTCTTCTTCCTCAAACCAAAGACCAGAAAATTGAAACACTCATGCTATTGGCAAAGGAATGCTTAATGTAGTTCTTTGCTTTTCTCTCCTCCATAGTACTCTTCATTTCACATGTTGCCGTGCTATTAAACTTTTGAGGATCTATAACAGTGATGCTATGAAACATGCATGCATTTTTGTTGTCAGTACCTAGTTGTCCATTAAAGCCATGTTCCCTCTGCCAGATATTAAAAGCTATTTGACAGATTTTACAGTATTTAATGAGCAATAATATTCTAGGCATTATAGAGAAGGCAAAATTCTGTAAGATTTAGTATTCATTGGCATTTTCTCATCAGTTCAGTGAAATTTATATCAGTTGCTAAGTATAGACTTTCATTGCAAACAGTAGCTTTTTATAGTTTGCTGGAACCTAGCTTTGAGTAATAGTTCTATATTTAGTCTTTTAAGATAATAAATCTCATCATAATTAAAGGTAATATAGAATAACATGAGAATTTAATTAGAGAGCAGAAGAGGCGATTCAATTTATTAAATTACTATCCATGGACACTTGAATTAGCGTTTGTAACACAGCAGTAGTGTGAGAGTTTAGAATAGCGAAGCAGGGTTTTTACCCTTCGTTTGCTGCGTGTGTCAACGCAAGTGTCCGTGGAGCAGAGGCAAACCATTCCTGCCTGACATTCTGCCGCTTATCAGCAGCTGTTTACAGCAGGGAAGAATGGTTAGTAAATTTCATCAACTCTGTTTACTGTTTTATTCATAAAACTAAGGTGAGAAGTTTTTCTTTGGTTACAACTAATAAATGGACGTGTGTTTTCATCCTCTAAGTGCATCGGACTTTATAGGGTTTTGTGTTATATGTGTCTGAGAACAAGACTCAGTAAATACTTTTGTGTATTGATGGAGTCCTTTGATCAGTCTATGAGAGTAAGTGTGTGAAGAGATCACTCGGTCACTGACCTAACTGCTCTTTCCTGGTGTAACTACCACCGCACATGGAGCTGCTACACAGAGACCCTGTGTGGGGCAGGTCAGCCTGGGTTAAGACAGAAGACTTCCTAGAGGAGGTACATTCTGAACTGAGATTTTAAAAACGACATGTACAGATTTCAAATCTTTTGGGCCTGCTTCTGCCTTGCATACTCAAGAGGATCTAATAGAAGGTCATGCTCTCCCCGCAAGCTGTGCTGTGAAACACTGTCGCATAGACCTGAGCTTTTGAATCTTTACATAATCTGCTCTTATCGTTTGAGAAATGATTATTCCTTTTGTGGGTCACCCCCTTTTGCCTATTTAGCACATTTCATTGCTTTCCAGTACTCACCACTAAAGGGTGAGCCACTGTAGAATGAGGAGGTAAAACTCATTTGATCACCTGACAGATTTGGTAACAAGTAAATAAAAGTGAGCATCATTCTCCAAAATTGCATTGAAGATTTTTCAGATTTCAGATATTCTGGCTTGCTTTGCTCAGCATAATGAGCAGTTGAAATACACTCATTTTATACTAATCACAGAGCTATTAGATCTAGAAGAGATTTCTTTGTCTAAGAATTAAGAAATAACTGCCTCTCAGTCTAAAGGCCTTCATAAATAAATGAATTGGAGAAACACAAAACTTACTATTTTAATGTAAGGAAGAGCGACTCCTTAGCAGAATGTTATTGCCTGCTTTATATAGGACAGAGCAGACGGGTCTTCTGAGTCAAGTGTGGCGATGAGCGACAGTGCAGCCTAAGACAAAAACAGTGCAAGGAAAACCTGAGCCCGGCAGGCGAGAATCCGGGCCCAGAGCTGCCCCTGGTGTTCCTTCTCTGGCATCATACTTTGGCCCTTTGGGTCATGTGCTAGTTGGCAGCCTGTCCTGTCTTCCCTGCCCTGAAAAAATACGGGGACACGGTGATGCTTGTCATCTCCTTCTAACAAAATATTGGAAGACTTCATTTATACCATTGTTCTAACTCCAGTAATCCTTCTAGAATACCAGAAAAAGGAAGAAGCATTCTTCCCATTTGAGGGCCGCCTTTTTGGCCATTGGCAGTCCCACTTAAGACAACAGCAAGTAAGAATCAGGGCAGGAATGAACACCAGCCTTGTCTTTGTCTCACCACCTGAAATACTATTTTTATAAGCACTTTGAACTCCTCTAGTGAAAACTGCTGCTACAGAGGAAGTGTTGTCTAGCTACTCTCACCTATAGTGTGAAGCAAAGTCAAAGTTAAAACAACCCAGAAACTTTGATTCCCCAGGGGCTTTTTTTTTTTCCACTCCTCAGATTACTATAGTCAGTGATTTTTAACAATATTCCAATTTTGGATTTTAAGAGCAGTGATCTACCCCAAAACTTTCCCCCCAAACTCGTCATTCCTATGTGAAGAGTTGATCAAGCTTTGGATTGAACGGAGACATCAGGATTAGTCAAGCAAGGGGTGCCTCTTAGATTTAGAAGCCTACAAAGTAAGAAAAAAAAGGCTGAAGAAGAATAATAAATCATGTATGACAAACACATCTGTTCAGATTTTATTTTATACTGTTTGGTAGAGGGAATATAGCTTTTTCTTACTTGAGCTTGCAAAATATGCATGCTCGGCTATTGCCTGAAATAAGATAACTGGCCTTGCATAGTCGTAAGAGAGACTTTATGTACTGTTGACTGATTCACTGCTAACTGCAAAGGGCGATTCTCTGTGATTTTGAACAATCGTACCTTGTTTTACAGAGGGGGAATGTCTGTTGAAAGGCAACGGGTGAGCCTGAGGTCCCTCAGGTTTTCCCATGAGGCACATTTTATGAGTTGTTGAAGAGAGAGATTGGACTGAAATAATTGTTTTGGTCCAGGGTGATGCCTAGGCAAGACCTAGGTCAACTTGGGCAAGAGATTTGTGTTAGATTAAATAAATGTGTAATTTATTAGAATTCCTCAAAATATATTTGATAGATTTAGAAAATTTTGGTCCTACTTCTGGATCTTTCCAGTTACCCTTATTTCAAAAGGAACATAATGTTTCTGTAGTCAGAACAAGCCACACAATGTCATTCCCCTTTTGGAAATCAAAACAGCGTGCTAGCCCATACTTCCTCCCAACACTCAGCAACCTCCCCTTCCAATGCAGGTGGTGGTGAATGCCTTGGTGGGCGCCATCCCCTCCATCATGAATGTGCTGCTGGTGTGTCTCATCTTCTGGCTGATTTTCAGCATCATGGGAGTTAACCTGTTTGCGGGGAAGTACCACTACTGCTTTAATGAAACGGCTGAAGAGCGATTTGAAATTGACATTGTCAACAATAAAACTGATTGTGAAAAGCTCATGGAGGGGAACAATACAGAAATCAGGTGGAAGAACGTGAAGATCAACTTTGATAACGTTGGGGCAGGATATTTGGCGCTGCTTCAAGTGGTGAGTACGATTATTTCTTCTGTCCCATGAAGTTCAGGTGGGTAACAGAAATCTTACCTGGTTCCTTCTCAGCCCTGCTTCTAGAATCAAGGTGATTCCTGATAGGTCACACAGAACCATTTCACCTCCCAAACCGTGTCATCTCCCAAAAGTTCCAGGGAGACACCTTCCCTGAGCACTCTGACTTCTCCAAGACCTCACTCAAAGGAAATCTCTCACTGCCCTGAAGCTGAGCAACAAACCAAGATTCCTGCAGCATAATGAAGTTGCAGAGCAATTGCTTTCTCTCTCCAGGACAGAGTATATAGTTAAAGAAAAAAGGAAAAAATGAACATAAGTGCATAGACCAAAAAAAGTGATGGCAATTTTGATGGAGCAGAACAATTCTGTACAACAGCTACACTGGAGTTAAAGGGAAAAGCATGGCCGTGCTATGGTGCTGCCCCTCAGGCTGACCCCAAAGAAAAGTCTGTGCATCACAGTGAGAAATAGTTATTTTCACCAAGTAACGTTCCATTGTGCCTGGTTTTCTCTTCCTCTCTTGCCACTTTTTGGGAATGTTTTACAAGACTGTCATGCAGTGAAGGTTCCTAGGCATCAGATGTTGGAATCAGACAGATGTAGGTTTGAGCCACACATATTTATTGGATGTGTAATCTTAGACAAATTACTCAGCCTGTCTGAGTCTGTTTCTTCATCCATTAAATGTGGGTAACAATGCCTTGCACGATTCTAAAGAGGATTTGTGATAATTTACTAAAATTTCTTTGCACGGTGCTGGCATGTAGCAGTGCTTAATTAATGGCATTTGCAATTATGTGTTTTTATTATATGATATGTCTATATCATATAATTGTTGGGCGAATTAGATGCGATAATGCAGGTGAAGCTCTCAATTCATCCTTACATATTAAGCACTTACTGTTAGCTAGTAGTAGCAGGCAAAGTTAATGGAATGGGCAGTGGTTCATTTCACTGCCAAGGACTTTGTTGTTCTATCCCAGTTCAAGAAATTGAACCCGCAAATTGAATTTGAACTGGAGCAGCTCCAGGAGACCAGCGCACATCAGCCAGCCCGTCAGACATTGTATTCAGACCTCCGCCCGCCATATGCAAGCTGCCGTGTTTGGCACGAATGAGGGCCATCAGATAAATAAAGAACTGCTCGTGCTCTGAAAAAAACTTAGAATCTAGTTGAGTAAATAAAACAAATAGGATGTAAATAAAACATGGAAAATTTTAATTGATCACCTATATTTGTTTCAAAATCAGGTTACATATACCAGATTAAGGAGTAAAATTGGGAAGGGGCTGCCTAGGCTAAAGCCAGCATTGCCTCTGCCATAGGCTACACATGTATGTATCAGTAAGGGGAAAGTTCTGGCCTTCTTGTTTGTTTGTTGTCTTTGTTATTAATGCAGCTATGAATTTTCCAGACCCCAGTGCCAACACCTTTTTTTTAAAGATTTTATTTGTTTATTTTTAGAGAGAGGGGAAGGGAAGGAGAGAGGGAGACTAATGTCAATGTGTGGTTGCCTTTCACATGCCCCCTACTGGAGACCTGGCCCACAACCTAGGCATGTGCCCTGACTGGGAATCAAACCAGTGACCCTTTGGTTCACAGCCCACGCTCAATCCACTGAGCTACACCAGCCAGGGCCCAACGCCTTTTTAAGAAGTACTTCCTCTAAGTTCTAAGTATGCTCAGGGGATTCCTGGTACTCGTTCATAAATATAGTGTGCCTACCCCAGTTTTAGACAACTTTCTCAGGCCCATTTTAATGACCATTTGTGAAAGTATTGGTCCAGTCACCACTGCCAATATGTTTCTCTGGTATTGTTTCTAGGGACCTAGATAAAGCTCCCTTGGGACCTGTACTAATAAACAGAAAATTGTCAGTCCATGTGAGGCTGCACCCAAACTCCCTGTCTCGTGTTCTCACTGAACCCAAGCCTGGCTTCTTGGACCCTTCCTTAGATTCCCACCTACCCGACCAGGCACCATCTAATTACTGACTCTGTTTGCCAGGCAACCTTCAAAGGCTGGATGGACATCATGTATGCAGCTGTAGACTCCCGAAAGGTAAGGCTATGCCTGATGAAATCACAACCTTCTTAGATGGCTAGAAAGCAAGCAGCGTGGTGGATCTCATCAGGAAAGAGAGGGAGGCTTAGAACATTTTCACTGGTCTTGTTGACTGTAGGGCACTTCCTCCTCTCAGCACATCATCACTCTCTCACACTGACTGCAGGTGCTCAGGCTGCTGCACTGAGCCTGGCCCAGGGGTGGCTGGCTACTTTTCCATGCCGCTTTGAAATAAGAGTGGCTCCTAGCAGCCTCCCCTCCTCCTCACTTCATGACTTGCATATTCTCCACCTAAGTCATGGCAGGAATAATGTCTTCTGAGCACAGGGCCCGCCAGTGTGAAGGAGACAGGTAGAGAGAATCTAAGGCTCCCCGCCCCCAGCCGATGGCCTGGGCAAGGTCAAAAACGCCCACCTGACCCCCAGGCTAGGAGCTGACTTTTCCTTTTTCTCCTGCCCTTTGACAGCCTGAGGAGCAGCCTAAGTATGAGGACAACATCTACATGTACATCTACTTTGTCATCTTCATCATCTTCGGCTCCTTCTTCACCCTGAACCTGTTCATTGGTGTCATCATTGATAACTTCAATCAACAAAAGAAAAAGATAGGTCTCCTCCCCTCACTGCCAGGGGTCAGAGGTCAACCCCCTGAGGGGTGTAGCTCTCTGGGCCTCTGCTCCTGTCTGCAGAGAGGCCTTGCCTCTCTTTCTCTAAACCGCCCCCCATACAACCACCCCACTGCAGCACCCGCCCCACTGTGCATTAGCCCCAGCCGACTCTTTTTATCAAGGGCTGGATTTCACAGTGCGTGGTTTACCACGTTTCCTAGCAGTCTTATTCTCAAGGCCTCTTACTGGTTTTGGCCTCCTACCAGAGGGAGGTAGGGTAGGAGAGGGTCTAGTGACAGAGGTGAAAGGAAAGCAAATGAGTAGCTGGAGTGGGCCATAGAAATTGTCTAGACTTGTAACTGTCTATGAGAGACCATCCTTAAAAAGTTTACTTCCATGCTTGTCCCAGATAGTTAACAATTTTCCAAAGCAAATTGAAAAGGTTACTCTTATTATTCATATTATAAATTGAGTCTGTCCCAACAAACTCCAGGGAACTCCCCAAATTGTTGTCTTGCACCAGAATTTCTAAAATTTTTAATGTCAGAAATAAATGGGCCATTAACCAGGAGTTGAGAATCCTTTTATTTTAAAGTAGGGTTTTTTTTCAAAGAATTTTGTCAAGAAAGCAAGCCAAAAAAAGTTTAGGAGCAGTGAGATGTGACTGTCTTCAAAGCCCTCACCCCCGGTCTAACCCTTCCCCAAGAGTCTGTGGTTGTTGGATGGTCCATCTCCTTCCCTCCTAGCAGATCCCAGAAAACCTGAGCTGAAAACAAAGCCAGGTGTCTCTTTGACTTGCAGTGGTGGTCCCAGGTCTGCCTCACCCTGGAACCACTGCTAACTGAAGTGACCTTGGGAAAGGAGAGGGGCTGAGTCTCCCCCTGGGCTCAGTGCTGAGCCCTGGGATCCAGGCCCGAGGTGCCTGAGAGCCTGTTGTAACTGCTCGTTCTCCTTTTTTCCCCCTGCACTTTGGAGGTCAGGACATCTTCATGACTGAAGAACAGAAGAAGTACTACAATGCCATGAAAAAGCTGGGCTCCAAGAAACCGCAGAAACCCATTCCCCGCCCCGTGGTGAGTGCATCTGTGCAGTCCAAGGGCAGAGAGAGACCCCTTACGGACAAAGATACTGATAGGGTTACTGCAGAGGAAGGAACGGGGTAAGTCACGGGCTGCCTGTGCCCTCTAATCCTTGGCTAGCCACCCCATCCAGAAGATCTGAGAACAGCAGCAGAACAGGGATTAAGGTATGGGATGGCTTATACATTTGTGTTTGACCTTGCCTTTGAGCCTTTCCTGGGCAGCAGCAGAGAATTGGAATCTTAACCACACCGGCTGTGGCCCTGGCAGAGAGATGTTTTAAGAGGTAGCTAAACATTCACAGGGAAAAGTGAAAATGAAAGCTGATCTCTTTCCTGCCAGTATGAGACAGGTTTGGTCACTGTTTTTTCAGCTCACTACCCAACAGGTCAGTCTTTGCAAGGATGTGCCTAGAAGCTAAAATAATGCTTCTGGCTATTTGTGGGAGCAGAAGACAGTGAAACTAGGGGCATCTGAAGTCCTGAGTGCCTCCTTGAACAGAGCCTTTTGTGAACCAGAAGTGGGACTGGGATTCTGCCCCACCCTTCCGTCGGAGGTGGTCCCCTTGTTTCCGAGAAGGAGATGCTCCTGGAGCTGCATAGCCAGCTGGGTGGGGCGCAGCCCACAGACCAGGCTCCCAGTTTCTTCTTCTGTAACTTGCATTTAAAGTAACTTTAAAAAAACCAAAAGAACAAAAGAGCACAACTCTTAAAAGCTTTTCTAGCAATCTATTTTGTAAAACTAAAAGTGGAGCTACTTTGTTTGAATCAAGAGTCGGGGTTTGAATCCGGTGTGGGGTGACTTTGCCTACTCACCCCACACCTGGCATACTCACCTCACCAAATTCTGAGGCGAGGGAAGCCCTAGGGCTTTGCAGAACTTGGTGTTTGAAAACCACCACGTTAAAGTAATTCTGAAAATAAGCACCAGCTCAAGTGCCTTAAGGTACTTTTTTAAAAATTGGGGAGATCTTAAGAAAATGAATTATTTTTCTTGTTGTTAGTTTCCATTCTGGGGTAGAAATGGGACCAAAAGGAATGGAGGAGGATTTCCATTTCTAGAGTTCTGTTCAGTACTTTGCACGAGGGAACCTGAGTGTACTTTCTTCAACACTAAAATATAAAAACCTGGTGCCGTAGGAAACAGTAATGGTGATCAGCACTGATTCAGCAAACATAGGACATTCTCCAGTGACATTCTTTTGTTCAGCACTGGTTTCTATAACATTGATGATACGCGTAGAAGCTTAACTCTTGTTTATACCAATTAGCCGATGGTGAAATTGGTTTTGTTAAACATCACTTGGCTTAAAGTCACAGAACCTGTTGGCATTAAGTGAGGACTTACTGTAGTTACAGATCTCCTACTGTGTATCAGGCACTAAACATAAAGTGGTGAGCAAAGTTTAGATGCTGCTGTCATGGAGCTTATAATATACAGTGGGGATAGAGATAAACAAGTGAGCAAGTGGCCACTATAAAATGTGCAGTGCCGTGAGAAAAAGTTAACTGGAGGGCCGTGACAGGGGACAGTGGAAGCTTAGGGTGGGGGAATCTACTTCCAAAGAGCAGTCAGAGGGAGCCTGACTGAGGAGGGTCTACTTGAGTGGATGAGGAGCATCCAAAATTTGGAGAAGGAGATCCTAGAAAAGCAAATGAGGCCCTAAAAGCAGGAAGTGTTAGTGTGGCCAGTGGGGTGAGCCAGAGGGAGGCACACGTGATGAGCAGGATTAGCCTGTGAAAAGCATTTTGTAACCCAGGTTAACAGGAGTTGTGTTGCAAGCCCAGTGAGAAACCATTGAAAGGTTGTAAATAGAAGATCGATGTAATTCATTTATGTTTTTAAATAATCACACTTGCTGTGTGGAGATTGCATTGGAGGAGGGCAAGAGAGGAAGCAGGGTAGGGACTCTTCCGGAAGTCCAGATGAAAGAAGGTGGTGGCTGAGGCTAGAGTAGGACCAACTGAAGTGGCATGAAGTGGATAAATTCAGTTTATATTTTTGGAGAAAGAATCAGTAAGACCTGCAATGGATTAGATGGAAGACAGGAAGATGAGGGAGAGGAAAGAGACAAGGATGACCCCCCCCACCCCCCCGCCACAGTTTCTGGCCGAAGAGACTGGATGAATAATTGAGATGAGGGAGGAAGAAGTTGGGTGAGGGGCAGGGAAAGGACTTAGTTCTGCTTTGGACTTGTTAAATTTGAGATGCTTATGAGTCATCAAGGAAAGATGTCAAGTAAGCAAGACAGGAATTCAGAGGGAAGTTAAGGGCTGAGAAGAAGGACCATGAGAAAGTATGTAGATATTACATAAGCAGTAGGAATATTATGCGTTCTCCTAGGGAGAAAGCATAGAGAAAGAAGAAACTAAGTAACAGAAGAAATGGCTGGCAAACAAGACTAAAAAGCAGCAGCTGGACAGGTGGGGAGACATCTAGAGGTGGCAGCAGCACAGACGCAAAAGAGAACAGTAGCAATTTTAGAAAACTCACGGTGTGGTGATATATTTTTTAAGTTTTTATTTTTATTTATTTTTATTTTTAGAGAAAGGGGAAGGGAAGGAAAAAGAGAGGGAGAGAAACAATAATGTGTGGTTGCCTCACGTGGCCCCCACTGGGGACCTGGCCCACAACCCAGGCATGTGCCCTGACTGGGAATTGAACCAGCGACCCTTTGGCTTACAGCCTGCACTCAGTCCACTGAGCCACACCAGCCAGGGCTTGGTGTGGTGATATCGACACCGGGGTCTGTCCATACCCCTGGTGTCCTGACAGCAGCAGGATCAAGCTGGCTGGTGTTAGAGAAAAGAAAGCAGAGCACTCTAATCAACAGGTGGCAGCTTCCAGTCTGCTTAGAGAGGCTTTCATAAACACTTTTATATCTTTCCTCCTCCTCTACCCCCTCAGAATAAAATCCAAGGTATCGTCTTTGATTTTGTCACTCAACAAGCCTTTGACATCGTTATCATGATGCTCATCTGCCTTAACATGGTGACAATGATGGTGGAGACAGATACTCAGAGCAAGCAGATGGAGAACATCCTCTACTGGATTAACCTGGTCTTCGTCATCTTCTTCACTTGTGAGTGTGTGCTCAAAATGTTTGCCTTGAGGCACTACTACTTCACCATTGGCTGGAACATCTTCGACTTCGTGGTAGTCATCCTCTCCATCGTGGGTGAGTGGGGCAGGTGGGGAAGGGAGGACGGGCCCTGCATGGCCTAGAGGATGAGATTCCTGGGAAGAGAAGGTGTGTCACGGGTCTGACATGCAGGCCGGTCACTCCCGTAGCTCAAGCCTTGTGTCATCTCATGGGCCTGCCCAGCCCCTTGCATGGTCAGTGCCTCTCTGTTGAGTGTTGGTAATAGTCTTGGACTATAAATTCTGGTTGCAGGGAGTAGGGCAGAGAATGATTAGAAAAGGCAGTGGGAAAAAAAGTCCTCTGGTGAGGATTAAAAAAGCACCTGTCTTGAAACGTATGGCCATGATAGCTGTGTAAAATGGAAAAAAGGAAAGGTAAGAGATTGTTAAGCTGAATATTAAGGAAACGGCCCAGGGAACTGCTCGTGCCGATGACGGTGGCAGTGCTCGTTTCACTGGGATTTTTCCGTGCGCCAGGTACAGTTTGAGATTCCTCACGTGCGTTATCTCATTTGATCCTCACGACAGCCCTGGAAGCTGGCTTTTGTTCTCTTCACTGTAAAGACATTAAGGTCGCTCAGTTCAGACGTGGCAAAAGCAGAACTCAAGTTGGTTTTTTAACCGCAACTGTATGGCATTTTGCTTCAACCTAAAGGCATGAAAGGGGTGATGTCCTGGCAGACAGAAGTGCTGTCGTATCGATTGCCCTCCTGGAAGGTTTCTTTGCCTTCCCAAAAGGCATCCTGAATGGTGAAGCGCTGCCTCTGCAGGTTCGATGACTTAGGCCAGCAGAGAGAGAGTGCACGAGACCCCTGGGCACCAGCTCCAGAGCCCTGGTGGCCAGGCCAGGTTAGCGAGGTGGTGGCTGTGGGCAGCAGAAGGCAGCGGGCATTCCCCTTGGCCTGTGCTGCATTCTAGTTTCGTCCTCAGGAGCAGCATGTCCAAAGGTGTATTGACACGTGGAACACTGATCCCACCTATCTCTCCCCAAGGAAAGAATCCCATGATGGAATTACTCTGGGCAACCCTGTACCTTCCACTTTCTTGGGAGGGTCACAGAGCACAGTGTCCTAGAGAAGGCTCTCGGGAGTTCTGCAGTTAAGAATTGTTTAATACAGCCCTGGCTGGTGTGGCTCAGTGGATTGACCACCCACCTACAAACCAGAGGGTCACTGGTTCGATTTCCAGTCAGGGCACATGCCTGGGTTGCAAGCCAGATCCTCAATAGGGGGTGTGCTAAAGGCAACCACACATTGATGTTTCCCTCTTTTTCTCCCTCCCTTCCCTTCTCTAAAAATAAATAAATAAATAATTTTTTTAAAAGTATTGTTTAATATACCATCCTTCCTTTTTTTGATCACAGCACCCTTTTTCAAATTATAGTAATGGTATCTTACATTTTAATGGAATACACCATGTGCTAGTCACCATTCTAAGCGCCTTACATGTTTTAATTTATATTAGATATCCCGCCCAATAAGCCCGTAAGCCTCAGTAAGCACAGAGCAGTTCCCAAGACATGGGACTAGTAAGTGGGGGCCCAGCCCAGCCCCTGTTCTCAAGCCCACACCCCAACCTCCCACAAAGCACACGTCAGGCAGTACTGCCTATACCCGCCATGCCTGACCTTGTTCCGCCACCTACCACTGAGTGGAGTGGGAAACCTGCAGACCAAACCAAGGCCCTATTCTCAGAGCATACTCGCAGAGATTTTAATGATTGCAATTTTTATTAACCCTCGCCCAAGGATACACTTTTTTATTGCTTCAGAGAGCTGAAGGGGGTGGGGGAGGAGAGAGAAAGAAACTTCGATGTGAGAGAAACATCGATTGTTTGCCTCCCATACACACCGAGACGAGAGATAGAACCCACAACCCTTTGGTGTGCAGGACAGTGCTCCAACTAATTTAGCCACACTGGCCAGGGCAATGGTTAGAATTTTTATTAAATATCATTAATATAGCCCTGGCTGGTGTAGCTCAGTGGATTGAGCATGGGCCTGCGAACCAGAGGATCACGGTATGATTCCCAGTCAGGGCACATGCCTGGGTTGCAGGCCAGTTCCCAGCAGGGGACGCACAAGAAGCAACCACACATTGATATTTCTTTCCCTCTCTCCTTCCTTTCCCCTCTAAAGGTAAATAAATAAAATCTTTTAAAAAATACTATTAATATGTTCAGAAACAAAAGAATAGAAATTATCGTTTTAAATTAAGGGAATCTGGGGTAAAAGTAGCCCTGGAACCTCTGAAGGGACCTCTCAAATGGTATTCCTACAGCCTGGGCTGCGGTCCGCCCCATCTCCCCCTCCTTTTCTCTGGGGACCCATGCACACTCATCCTACAAAACCTCACTTGAGCATCTGCTCTCTGAAGCTTTACTTGCCCACCACACGTGAATGCAAATATTACATATTGAAATGTATCGCCTGACTTCTTACTGTCACTGGTTAGGGCTTAATGGCGAACTGAAAAGAAGAGCCGAGAAGTGATCTGAGGTCCTGGCTGTGGCAGAGATTGAAAGCTCAAACACCCCATGGAATTCTGGCTCCAGACAAAGCCCCAGGAGGCTGTCTGGTCTCCTTTGAACTTGCTGCATCTCGTCCCTTCCTCAGAGAACTCTTACCTAGAAACCTTCAAATAACGGGATTCTGTAGCCTTCTGCAGTTCATTACCCCAATATTTATGAATCCCTATGACTGAAATATTTTCTTCTTGTTTATAGTAAATCCTTCCTGTCAGTTGAAACCCATGTTGCCTCACCAGCAGGACAGGGCCCTGAGGGAGAGACCGTGTCACTGCCTTCCCTGCAGCTGTCATTCCCCAGCCTTTTCATCCCCTCTCCCTGCTGCAGCCCCTCGTTGGGTCCCCACTGTTGCTCTGTCCTTTACAGGCGACTGGTCTGGTGGAGGTGGACCCCTGGCTGAATATGAACAGAAAAAAACCCTGATTTGCTCAGTTTCACCATCTACCTTTGTTTCCTACTAATGCGTTGACATTTGTATTGGCTGATAGAGATTTTAAAAGTTAGAAGCTCTGAGTTCAAGGCCATTCATGAGCGGTAGATTCATTTGGTGGGGTAGTGACATGGAGCAGTGAGAAACCAAAAAGGCTTTATGGCCCCAGCCAGGAGGCTCAGCTGGTTAGAGCGTCGTCCCCATAGGCCAGGGTTGTAGGTTTGATCCCCAGTCTACCAGTGAATGCCCTCATGGAACAACAAACCAATGCCTCCCCCTCTCTCTCCTCTCTCCTCTCTCCCTCGTCTCCCTCTTCTCCCTCCCTCTCCCTCCCCCTTCCTGTCTCTAAAAAAATCAATCAATAAAAAAATTTTTAAAGATTGTATTCATTGATTTTTTTTTTTTGGAGAGGGGAAGGGAAGGAGGAAGAGAGGGAAAAAGACATCAGTGTGAGAAAGAAACGTCGGTCAGTCACCTCTCAGACGCACCCCCACCAGGGATGAACGCACAACCCAGGCACGTGCCCTGACTAGGAATCAAACCGGTGACTTTTTGCTTTACGGGATGACACCCAATCACTGAGACACACGGGTCAGGGCAAAAAAATTTTTTAATGTCTGTTCAGATCCAAGAAGAAGATACTTTGAAAATCGGTAGTATTACCAGAATGACTAAAACATCAGAGCCAAAGGGCAGTGAGTGCATAGGGTAGAGTGAGGCCCTCTCATTCATTGTCTGTGGCTGTGGAGATCTGATAGTGTTTCGGAAAGGAACCCATAACACCTCAGGAAGCCATGCATGTACAAATATGAGAAAAATGGATTATCCTTGAGTGGGAAAACAGACAAATGAGGACCTACCTGTTCATGAAATTCAATCATTATCATGAATAACCTAAAATTATTTTAACACCAGAGACCAATCGCACAATGTTAAGTCTCAAAAGCAAGTTAGAGATCTAAAAAAATTGATCTAAAAAGATGGATACGTTTTCATTCCTTAAGCATGGGAAGATGCTACCTGTATGTTATTCATGGGCTCACACATAACAAAACCATAGAGACGCCACAGCGTACCACCTTCAGGATGGCAGCTGCTTCTGGGGACGAAGAGAAAGCAAGTTTGATGAATGCTGGCACCTCTTAAATCTGGGCATTATGGACATAAGTGTCTGTTTAATTGTTTTCTCTCCTCTTTATGTTTGAAACATGATTTTTTTTTATCATGAGAGTTCAGATTGAATAGTGAGGCACTCATTCTATAGTCCTTTGAACTTAAGGATTCCATAACACTAGTTGACGTAAGTAAAGAGAAAGGACGTCTCCATTATCAGTAACATATCTTCTTCTACTCCTCTTCTTAGGAATGTTCCTGGCTGATATAATTGAGAAATACTTTGTTTCCCCAACCCTATTCCGAGTCATCCGATTGGCCCGTATTGGGCGCATCTTGCGTCTGATCAAAGGTGCCAAAGGGATTCGTACCCTGCTCTTTGCCTTAATGATGTCCTTGCCTGCTCTGTTCAACATCGGCCTTCTGCTCTTCCTGGTCATGTTCATCTTCTCCATCTTTGGGATGTCCAACTTTGCATATGTGAAGCACGAGGCTGGCATTGACGACATGTTCAACTTTGAGACCTTTGGCAACAGTATGATCTGCCTCTTTCAGATCACAACCTCGGCTGGGTGGGATGGCCTGCTGCTGCCCATCTTAAACCGCCCCCCTGACTGCAGCCTGGAAAAAGAACACCCAGGGAGCAACTTCAAGGGGGACTGCGGAAACCCCTCAGTGGGCATCTTCTTCTTTGTAAGCTACATCATCATCTCCTTCCTAATTGTTGTGAACATGTACATTGCCATCATCTTGGAGAACTTCAGTGTAGCCACAGAGGAAAGTGCAGACCCTCTGAGTGAGGACGACTTTGAGACCTTCTATGAGATCTGGGAGAAGTTTGATCCCGATGCCACCCAATTCATCGAGTACTGTAAGCTGGCAGACTTTGCAGATGCCTTGGAGCATCCTCTCCGAGTGCCCAAGCCTAACACCATAGAGCTCATTGCCATGGATCTGCCCATGGTCAGCGGGGATCGTATCCACTGCTTGGACATCCTTTTTGCCTTCACCAAGCGGGTCCTGGGAGACAGCGGGGAGCTGGACATCCTCCGGCAGCAGATGGAGGAGCGGTTCGTGGCGTCTAATCCTTCCAAAGTGTCTTACGAGCCGATCACAACCACGCTGCGGCGCAAGCAGGAAGAGGTGTCGGCAGTGGTCCTGCAGCGTGCCTACCGGGGACATTTAGCAAGGCGGGGTTTCATTTGCAAAAAGACAGCTTCCAATAAGCTGGAGAACGGAGGCACACACCGGGAGAAAAAGGAGAGCACCCCGTCGACAGCCTCCCTCCCATCCTATGACAGTGTGACTAAACCTGAGAAGGAGAAGCAGCAGCGGGCAGAGGAAGGGAGAAGGGAAAGAGCCAAAAGACAAAAAGAGGTCAGAGAATCCAAGTGTTAGAAGAAAGCAAAAATTAAATATTGTACAGTTTAAAACTTGCAAGTGAAAGATTGTTTACAAACTTCCTGAATATTATCAATGCAGAACAGCTGTGGAGACACTTTCCCCTGAAGATCTATACCAAACGTAGTCTGCTCACCACGTCCCACGGTTGCATCTCGAGCAGTGACCTGCCTAGGGCAAAGGACCCTGCTCCCTGGACTCACAGATTTTCTAGTGCTTGGGCAGGTGGTTACTGCATGTTCCACATCAGTCAATGCAACTTAGGACAAAACTAAACAGGATACAAAAACAGAGGAGAGGCTGCCGGAACCAGCATATTTCCGTTGCAGCCAAATGGATTTTGTTTTTTTCATTTTGTTGATTCTCAGAAGCAGAAAGCATCACTTTAAAAGTTTGTTTGTTCATGCAAACTATATTTGCATTCGTACATTAGTTAAGCTAAGCAGCAAAAAGAAAACACACACATACTCACATTTAGCCCATGTCATTTAATTGTCAGTTTCTTTGACATAAACTGCATCTTCTCCACATGGGCTTCACATGGTTTGGAGATGGGTGGGGGAAAACAATCAGGTTTCTTCAGGCTGAGGAGGACTTGCTCAGGCCGATTCCAAACATTGTGCTTGTTCAATGCATAGAAATGATTTGCATGATGGCATGCCGTGATCAGAAGTCATGCATGAGAACCATACACCACAGGACACTACTGATCCTCTCCCCTGCCCTGGGTCAGCCTTGGGACAGGACCCAGCCCTGCACCGTTCACTGTATTTGGAGAAAAAATGGTAAGAGTTCCACACCCGCTGCAATTCTTTATGAATTGGTAGAAGTCTTTCATACACCTTCTGGGTAGGAAACACAACCAACCAATTGATCACCACCAACAAATACGAACCCAGTCTGACAAGCAGATGGATCCGTCGCGTGTCTATGTTTAACAGACATCTCTAACATACAGCCATTGTTGCACATTTTGAAAGATGAACTGTTTAATGCTGCTCTGTGTTCCGTACGTGGGGAAACTTTGATCTCAAATGGCTTGTATTAATGTCACTGTAAAACCAAATCCTAGGGCTAAAAACAAAAATCAAAAAAAAGTTCATTTGTATTTTGCAATATTTATGATGATTGTTTAGCCTTCATACTGGAGAACTGACACTAATTTGGGGTAGAGGTAAAAATGCTATTCAGAGTAGCATGTTACCTCTAGGGGGTGATTTAGGGAACTTAAAACCACCTTTCGTTGGGGGTAAAGGGGTGCTCATTTCATTTAGTATCACGTCCTTTTGCATTGTGGCTTTCTCTGGGCTCGGGTCCACGTGGAGAGGGCCTCTCTCCTACAGAGGGGCTGTCACAAGCTCGCACACTGCACAGTCCCTCTTGCCTCCATCACATTTCCACCAGGCAGGGCTTCCCTGACCCACAGAGGTGGGTGGGGGCAGTGGCACTGGGGCTGGGACTGTGGTTTCTGTCATTTATCATTAGAATAAGCCGTCACTGGTGGGACCTGAGGTAGAGATGGAGCCGCCTCTGAACAAGCCCACTTGGTTTCTTTATTGCACTGGTTCTCGTGAGAAAGTGATTTAATATTAAATCCTCGATGTTCCAGCTTCCCCCAGCACGTTTCCTTTCAGCCAGTTTTGCTGTCTGCTTAGCGACCTGCCCATTGTCATTGAAGGGTGGCTTTGGGGGGAGCGTCCTATCTTCCATTCCATCTCCTGCTCTGGGGAAGGCAGTTTTTAGTCCAGGGGTTTCTCATCTGATGACTAGATTTCAAAGCCAAGATGCTGCAGTTGAATGTGTCAGGAAGTCTATACAAAGACTGAGGAGAGATTTTAGCTTGCAAACCAAATCAAAATAAATTCTTCCTGAACCATACAATAGAGGGGGAAAAAACAACCCATAATCAGACACACCAATCTGCCTTGCAGTAGAAGCACTTTGGATGTATTTTCACCGTCCATCTGACTAGTTTTGTGTAGAACAAACCACGGCAAGTCAGTAAGCAGAGCTCTGTCTTGTTGGACCAATAGACGCTGTCCAGCCATTGTAAGCCTGCTTCTGTGGCATCACCCGTAGGACTTTCGTACTACACGCGATCCCGGGGTGGGAAGGCATCTCTCTCAGTGACGCTGCTAACTGCTAGGACGAGTGTAGAGTAACATGTACCGGCTACACCGTAAACAGCACAAAACAGAAGCTGACATGTGTGGTTATTCTTTTTAAGAGAATTATAAATACTGTAATATATCATTTTATTTTATTGGCATGCCTTTTTGTAAATACAAATTAACTTATTAAATAGGAAATGGCTTCTGGCTTCTGCCATTGTCATGTTTATTTTTATTTTTTATACTTTTCTTTCTTCTTAGAACTTAGATGCTGTCAGCCAATGTACATCCCCAAACCAGACAGACAGACAAAAAATTTTTTATTGCTAATGGTCTTTTCCAAAACAACAGCAAATAGATATATATATATTTTTGTTCCAATGTGCAATAAATTCTAACCACTTCTATGCAAGATTTGGCTAAACTTCATAATTGTCCTTAGGTCTCTAGACGGGCAACAGAGCTAGGAGACCCGGCCCGGCACCCCGAGTGCTCGTGCTCGCGATGGCATCAGGCTACTATTGACGAGGTTTTTCTGAGATCTGCCCCTTCTCCCCCAGACCCTGATCCCTGCCCAGCAGGCCACCCCCTCAATCGCACACACGTGGGCCTGGGTACCTGACACCCATCCGCCAGCTTCACAGGGAGGAAGCCTCCTCTACTCTATTTGAAGTTTCACTTCTATTTTCTTTTTAACATTTCCCACCTTCTTCTCCCTGCCCACCACCCCTCGCTCACTCTCGCCCACCCTGCTCCACACTTCTTTGGTAGTAAATGACACCATCACCAGCAGTTTACACCCGCAGTTAACAGGCACTGAACTGAGAGAGTCAGTGACGCGCTGCTCTGCGTCCCCCCTGAGTGGGTGAGTGGCAACGCTTTGCCAGATAGTAATGAAGCCAATCAGACAGCAGCAGCAGCCACAGTATCACTGCACACACACACACACACACATATATATATATATAGATCTATAAATAGAATATAAATATATTTATTTTTTGTAGCCAGGTCCTTGGTGCAGTATTTATATTCCACAATCCACCTTTAAAAAAAAAGGACAAAAAGCAAAAAGTCACATGTGATGCTGTTAATTTAAAATGCAGAGCCAAAGCCACTGAGCAGCAGCTGACACGGTTGCTGGTTTGTGTGAAAAACACTTTCCCCTCTTTCCTTAACCTCCTTGTTGATTTGGATGAGGAGCTCCACAATTTAAAGCAGCAGGCGAGAGCAGGGAAGGCTTCCCGAGTCGGCATGACCCACTCCCACTCCTCTCCAAATGAGCCTCTTTTGGCACCAGAAGCTGACCTGGGCGAAATAAAGAGAAACTCCCAGTCAAAGCTCCTGGAACGACAGTGCCCAGAGTTCTTTTATTTTTCGCCGCAACCAATGTAAACTTGTAACAGACCAATAGTGAAGATTAGTGTATTAGTGAATGCATGGAGGCCAACACTGCTCTAAATGAGACATGACAAAGCGCACATCACAACTATAAGCCAAAAAGGAAACAAAATAAAAATGACCCTTTTTACTGTACAAGGGAAGCCTGTCTTGGTGTGTGTTTGTTGCTTATCTGTCCCAATTCTTGAGTCCTGGGAGGGGTCTGGGAATTGGGACCTTAGTACCTGTGGTGAAAGGGGAATGGGAGAGAGAGCGTAGGGTCTCTGGCCAAATTCTGGCTGAGAAGCAGAGATTGGAGAGAAAAGCAAGGTCCTGACCGCCCCCATCCCCATTCACCCATTGCATGTGGCATTCCTCCCCCTACTGGGCCGGTGCTTAAAGGCCCGTGAAACCCTTTCCTCACCAGGTCGCCTGGCAAAGCCCCCGGAGATGATGTCAGCCAACCCAGCTGAGCTGGCCTTACTTATGCCTTTTTCACCACTGTGTGAAAAAAAAAAAAACCCTGTCCCAATACCCCAGAGCTTGGGGCACGATGCCCAACAGCCTCCACTTCGCTAGCTAATGCCGGGCCTTGCCCTCCATCACCCCACAGATAAACCAGCAGACTAGAGCTGGTCTCATTCACAATTGTGCAGGGTGAGGAGCACCTCTCCCCTTCCCTCTCCCTGCCCTGCTTTGGGGACATCCCTCTCTAGGCCATGTCTCCCGGTCTGGGAATACTCTCAGGAGGATTCTGAAGTGCCCACTCTAGTCTACTCCAGTAGCTCCACTCTGGAGAGAGATGGCTGGTAGGTCAGTCCCCATCCTCCCCCGGCCCCCAGCCTCCAGGCCTACTGTGGAGGTGAGATTGCCATGGGTTATGACTTTGTGACTTGAGTCAGGGCATCTTTGGTAATGATGCCCCTTTCTTTCCTCAGATGTTGCCCAAAGTTTTGCAAAAAGCTTCGTTCATTTTCAGGTACCCCCACCCTGCAAAGAATTGGCTGCAACTAGCCAGTCAGGGGGACAATTAGGAGAGAAGAGGAAGTCTGGGTTGGGAGGAGCCCTAGGGTTTGCACAGAGTCTGTGTTGTGACTCAGCTCTATGCTTTCTTGGATTCCCTTTCTAGGATTACCAAGATTTCCTCTGTTAAAATGCTCCTGAGGTACCCCCTGCCCCTGTCCCCCACTGCTGTTTGCTGTACATAGAGGCCAAGTGGGGCGGGTGGGCGGGTATGCACATGTGCTGTGTGTGTGTGAAGAATGTATATAGGTAAAGGGGAGCGGGGTCCAGTGGTTCCAGAAAAGGGGCAGAACTCCTGTGTTCAATCCCCAGCTTAACCACTGGCTCGCTGTGTGGCCTTGGGCAAGTCACTTAACCTCTCTGTGCCTCAGTTTCCCCATCTGTAAAATGGGGGTAATAATACTGACCTACCTCACAGGGGTGTTGTGAGGCTTTAACTAAATGTTTTGTAAAGTGTTTTGAGATACAGAGGCAAAGGCACTAGGGAAGGGCAAAGTATTATTTGGACTTAAGGAAGATGAAATGGTACCATAAATGCTGCTATTCTGAGAGCCATTTTAAACTGCACTGCTCCAACCACCCCCGCTTCTCATCACCAGGACAGCAGGTCGAGAAAAATATCTTTCCTTTCACTTGCTTCTGGGGTTTATGATTATTGTAGACACTCAATTTTTTTCCCTTGCTGTATCTCCTTCCCTCACCCCCTCGACTTGTTCCCTGTTCCGTTTATGCGGAAATGGCGGAAATGCTTGAGAAATGAGAATGTATAAGTGGATTGGAAGTTTATAGTCTGAGATATCAATTTTACTTTGTACTGTACATCTTTTTACTTTAGAATTTGCAATAAAGGGTTACGTCAATCTTGTTTTCAACTCTCCTCTTGGACTGGCCTGTCATTTTGTCATTGCTCTCATACCAGTGTCCCTTAGCCTAGGGCGGGTGGGAAGTCAAGCACTCCCACCCAGCAGGACCCCACAGCTGTCCTCTTGCCTTCCCCTGTGACAAGGGACACAGTCTGAGCAGTGGGTGGGAAAGGTCTGGGGCTCTAGGCACACCCCCTGGAGGCCTTGCCAGAGTGGGGAGGGAGGCTTGGGGGCAGCAGCCTCTGGAAGCAGGCTCGCCCCCAGCTGTGTCACCCCCACACGCTCCGGCAAGGCCTCAGAGGGAACAGAAGCCGGCAAGTTGTTCTGGTCCCCGTCACGTTTCCCAAGCTCCCTTACTGCTGGCAGATTATTTCCTCTAGAGCTAATCATATTTGCAGGTCAGGCAGCTCTAGGTTCGAAAACCTAACTATGCCTTGACTTTTAAAAATTAAGTCAAATATGTATGTAAGTGCTTAGCGTAGGGCCTGGCACACAGTTAGTGCTCAACAAATGGTAGCTCCTGGTGGAAGAATAATTTCGAAATAAGAAACTAACGCCGACAAGAACTGGGGGGAGGGCCTGCCTGCTACCCCTGCCCCCAGACGGGCACCTGAGCCCTCCCTCCTTGTTCTGTTAACAGCAGCACTCTTGACCATGCTCGTCGTTTCCAACGAAGTAACAAACCGATTGCTCCATGCTTGGCGACTTTTGTGACTTTTATTCCACCAGGACTGTGCCCTGCTTTACAGCCGGGGGCACTGGGGTGAGGGAGGATCCGGCCCACCTGAAGCTCCGGCCGAGTGGGCCCAGGCCCCAGGTGACAGGAGCTGCTCTTCCGTCACTAGCGGCTTAGCCTCCCACCAGCCGTGCGCCTCATCGGGCCTGAGCCGGGCAGGGGCTGGAGGGCCGGGGCTGCGGGGCCGCAGCCCGTCGCCATCGCCGCCGGTGATCCACAGTGTCAGCAAGAGGAACAGCGCCCCGGCGCCCAGTGTCCCCACGAAGCCGGTGAAGAGGCCCAGCGCCAGCGGCCCGGCCCAGCCTAGAGGGCTGCGCTCGTACGGTGCCTGCGGCAGTCGCTCCACAACCAACTCCAGTTCGTCCCAGTTGGGCTCTGGGACTGAGGCGCGGCGGGAGCGAGGGGCGGGGCCGGGGGCGGGGCCCGGGGCCGGGGCGGGGCCAGGGGCGGGGGCGGGGCCCGGGGGCGGCAGGTAGCCCCGCCCAAAGTTGCGCAGCTGCAGCGTCGCCTGCTGGTGGAGGTTCTTGCCCAGCTCCCGGGCCACGTCGGGGCGGCCGCAGCGCCTCAGGGCCCGGGCCACACGGTCCCAGGGCAGCGTCAGGGCCTCGGCTGCCAGCCAAGCCGCCAGCCCCTCCCGGCAGCCGTCGGATACCTCCTCGGGGTCAGCCGCCGGGCCCGTCGCCTCCCGTCGCCGCCGGCCTAGAGACCCCGACCCGGTCGCTGGCGGTTCAGCCCGGGCCAACCGATCCTCAGAAAGTCTGGCCAGCTCGGCCTCGACGTCCGGCTCCGGTGCCTTTAGGAGCGACTGGAAATGGCTGCACTCCTCCGGGGTCAGCAGCTCGGCTATACGGACAGCCGTGTGAGGACCCATGGCATCCATGGCCCCCGCCAGAACCAACGCCCAGCCCCAGAGCTCCAGGGCCAGGACAAGGGCCCCAGCTGGAGCCCGCCCCGCCATGGCCGGACCCGGGACTGTGGGGGGAGGGGCTGCTCGGAATGCCCGCGGGCGGGGGAGGGGCGCTGGCGCCCACGGATGGCGGGGCGGAAGGGGCTTCCCACCCTAGCACCCCGGACGTGGAAAGGGCTCTCCAACGCACGCGGATGGTTGGAGGATCATCTCCCAACACCCAGAAGTTAAGAGGAAGGGTCTCACAAAACCCAGGAATTGGGAGAGTTTCCCAAGACTGGGAAGGGCTGGCTGGTGGCAGGGCTGTCCCACAAACTCCCCCGATTGAGCAGGTCTCCGGCATCCCTCCTAACCATTCACTGCCTCTCCTCATCCTCCGCCCTAGAGCCCTAGATGTCCGTTATCTCTGATAGCTATCAACATCTCAATTCTCTTATCAGCTAAATACCAAATATAAACAGGCCGTCATTTCCTGTCCTCCCTGGTCTGGGTACGGTAAACTCCTCTTCCAGTCCCCACCTGCCTTCACACGAGGGCCCCCCCCCCCAGCACCATCCTCGGTTCCTTTTTCCGCTTGGCGTTGTCCCTCTTGCGGTTCTCGGCCTGCACTCTTCTCTCTGGCTCAGTCACTCCTCAGCGGACAGGTCTCTTCTGGAAAGCTCTCCCTGACTGACTCTATCCAATCTACTCCCATAGCCTTTTTACTGTCTCCCTCATTAAACTGGAGGGTCCATCGTTTTTATTGGTCCATCTTAGTTAGTTAGTTAGTTAGTTAGTTAGTTAGTTAGTTAGTTAGTTAGTGAGAGAAACACGAGTGTGTGGCTGCCTCTTGCATACCCTCTACTGGGGACCTGGCCTGCACCCCAGGAATGTGCCCTGACTGGGAATCAAACCAGTGGCCCATTGGTTCACAGGCCTGCACTTAATCCACTGAGCCACAGTGGCCATAGCTGGAGAGTCCATCTATTGTCCCCATATTACCTAGTAAAAGGATTCAGTAAAGATTTCTTGAATTTCAGTGTGTGGATTCTTAACTTTCAAATCAGTCATGTCCTGCCCCCTGGCTCTGCACGGGCATGGCTGTTCCTTATGGTGCAGTTTCTCCCAGTGATTCCTCCAGCTGCACTTGCCCCCACTTCAGCCCTGTTTTATGCTCTTACGCCAAATCACACATACACTGCAGTTGCCGGCCTCCATAGCTCTGTCCACTGTACCCACTCCTGTCCAGGAAGCTTTTCTGATACCCCACAAACACCGTTGTGAGTCCGGGTCTTTTCTGGACATTCTTGAGATAGACTGTGCATCCTTCATCAAGATACTTTATCTGGGGGCTAATTAACTCAAGGACTTACTCGGTGTCTTCCATGTACCAAATGTGCCACATCTGAGAATAAAAATTTTGATGTGGCCCCTCCTCAAGCAGCTTTATGCAGCTGTGTTTTCAAATGATCCCTTTTTGAGCTTTCCCCACCCTGTCCTCTGGCATCTCCAGAACAGTGGCTGTGCTTAATCATTTCTGTATCCTTAATGCCACACAGTGTCTGTACATAGCAGGTATACCACAAACCAGCTGGAGAGTGAGGAGGGTCTGGACCTCAAAGACCCAGCATGGCTGGGGTTGCCGAGCCCTGGGACAATGCCCCAGAGCCCTCATGCCCAAGCACACCCTCAGCTGTTTCTCCCAGAGGAGAAACTGCTTTGCCTCCTGAAAGCCTGGTGTGCACACTAAGCCCTGAGTGCACTGATCCCCCTGGGTGCACTGATCCCCTCGTACTCTGGTGTGTTTTCAATCATTTTAGAACATTTTTCAAAGACCTCAGGAAGTTGTGAGTCCAGACTTCTCTTGGGTTATCTCCACATGGTTTTTTCAGCAAGATGCTCCATCCCAGTTTATGATGAGTTGTCAAAGATAGTTTAGGGTTTGACAAACGGTGCCAGACAAAGGATTCTGTGTGACCTTAAAGACTGGAACTCAGTTATTTCCATACCCTGCCCTCCAGGTACTTCCCCTGCATCCAAGAGTGGAATACAAGTATAATCACTACAGCCACAGGGGCTGCGGCCCCGGTTGTGGGTAAACCTTCCTCTTTTACGCCTTTCCTGCATTCATCCATTCACGCACTCATTCACACACACACACACACACACACACACACACACACACGAGTCTTTCTTCGCCCCCCACCCCTCCAATCCCACACTTCAGAGCTCTGGGGATACAATGAGTCAGCCCCAGTTCTGAACCTCTGAAAGCTCAGAATTTCATGATGGCTTTTCCTCCAGGGGCCTTGCAGGGCCTGAGTGTGTTTTTTCACCTGGTAGCCTCAGGGCCCAGTGCCTGGTGGGCACTTCTTGTGCCCGAGTGAAGAACCAGGACATTTTGCTCAAGGGATAGAAACGCCCAGAGCCACACCAATGGCACGGAGGCACCTGGATGCCCGAGAATTTCCCAGTGGGCTCCCCACGTCCTGCTGCCCGCAAAAAAAATCCTCTGGAAACCACATGTCGTTGCTTTAATACTGTGTGATAACTCTTTTAAAATACAGTCTCTTCTGAGGTAGACAGAGCACAACTGCAGAGCATCATCAGATAGGAGATAAATATGTCCATGTACAACACGCAGCACAATGAGGTAGAAATGGTTACAGCTGGAGGAGAGGACCCCAACCCCAATCTGGGTAGAGGAATGAGAGAGCCAGCTTGCTGAGTCCGCCCTCCCCCAACCCCTGCCCCTGGATTCTTTGGTATGCCCCCTCAACATCACCAGAGCCGGACCTGCCCTCCCCCACCCACCCCAGTGCCCACGAGGTAGGTGCTAGTAGACTGGGGGATGTCTCCTTGTGCAAAGTTCCCCAAGGCCAGTCGAGGAGGCGGTGAGGGCCCTGGGTCACTATCAGTGAGCTCCCCTACCAACCCCCAGAGCTGCCTGCCTCTTGAAGGGAAGGGATCCCAACCCTACTTCCCTGACGCCCTCCCCACCCCCCCATACACATACACACACCTGAGAGAACTTCCTCGCTCCTCACTCCCTCCAAGGTCCTTTCACAGCCCAGACCCTGCAGCCCACCCCACTGTTTCTGAGGCACCGAAGTCCCGCAAACAGCCAGCTCCAAGGAGGGCCAGAGAGACCAAGGGTGAAAAGCGGACACACACGGAGCAGCTTTCCTGTTCACATTGCCAGCACAGGCCCTCAGCACCTTGGCACCTGAAATGTTACCCCTAGACACCCTTCCACCTGGGAGTGGGAGTGGCACAGAGGCTGCAGCAGCTGGAAGGGCAGGCAAGGAATAGGAAGGGAGGCTACAGTGGGAGAGAAAAGAGGTAGGGGTGAGGGCATGTTCCCCCCAACTTTGGACCAAAGGTCGGAGTTGTGAAATGGGCTCCCTGAAGGGGAAGAGGCAATCTGCTGAAGCCCCACGGAGGGAGGCTGGTGGGGAGGGGAGGAGTATGGTTCTCAGAAGAAAGCCCTCCAGGCCTGGGCTTCCGGTGGCCAGTGTGGGTAGGACTAAGGCCAAATTCCCAATGTCAGGAAAACCGGCCTGCCCATCTCCTTCCCCTTCTCACACTTGTCCTCCCTTGTCCTCAAGACCTCGGACCCTAGGAAAATGAGGGAGGAGCACTTCTCCACAGAGCCTCTCACCCCTGCCCAGAGCCTCTTCACAGACTGGGAAGAACGAGTGTGTAGTCAGCGTTGGACCCAACCAGTCTTCCCTCCAGAAGGAATCTTCTTAGCCTATGTTACTGGAGACCTCTGCATGGGCAATGGCCAGGTGAGATGACCTCTCTGAGGGACTTCCTGTGTAAGTCACCTTCCCATTTGGGGCTTCTCAGACTATTTGCTGGGTCTGGGGCAGGAAGTGCGCAAGGGCATATACCAAGTCTGGCTAACCCTTCATAGAAAATACTACACTGAGAGTGGGCCCCAGCTGAGAGAGCAGCAGGAAGGCAGCAAGACCGACCTGCTCTCAAATCCCATAGCCCACTCCCCAACACCCCGCCTGCAATGTCGGGCTGGGGAGGATGCCCTGCAAATACATTCTGCTTCTATCCCAGGAAAAGCAGGGGTCTGCGTGTGGCTCTGTGCCCTCCCCTCCCCCTCCCAGCAAGTCTTTTTCTGAGTCTTCCGGGACGATTTGCTCCCCGGAGGGGTACGGGGGTTGCTGGGGAGCACGCAGGAGAGTAGCCAAAACCTAACATTCCTTCGGAGGGCAATTTCTTCCTGAGTTGTCAAAATAAAAAGAAAAACAGCAAGTTCTACATATCTTACAAAAATAAGAAGCCTAAATATTAAACAAGCTACATTTCTGGTATTTCCGCCCTCAAAAGCAAACAACAAAAACCCTTCTTTGGGTGTTTTTTGCTTGATTTCCACCCCCTCCCCAAGATTTCAGCTGGGTGAGAGGAAATGGGGTGGAAGGGAACTCCGTACATCTCCTCCTCATCCTCTGGACCTCCAGATCTCCTGCTAAAGGATCCTGCACTCTTTGAATGAGGGACAGAAGTCAGGGGGACACAGAGGCTAGGGAGCAACGGACACGGAGGCAGAAGCAGAGGGTGAAAGATGGAGATAGGGGAGGGATAAGCAGAGGAGAAACAGGGCCAGGGTGGGGGATGGGGGCAGAGACAAAGCGACTGGGAGAGAAAACTAGAATGCAAAGAAAGAGGAGAGAATGGGGGGAGAAGGAGGGAGCCATTAGGATAGCGAGGAGACAAAAGGACTGTGGCGAGAGAGCAGGAGTTCCTTAGGTCCCGGGTGTAGGACCATCCCTGGTGTGCCCGTCGGAGGAGCGGAGATGGCAGCTTCCCGTCCACAATAAATAGGAAAAAACCTGAGTACACAGCGCATATGGCATCTATCTGCCTAGTAGAGGCATTTTCCTGACCCCACCCCACCCCCAAAAAAATCCACCAACTGCACCCTCCCTTCTCCCTCCCACATTCATCACTTGGCACCCTCCCCAGCTCGGTGGGTTAAAGACGTCCCTCCCATGGCCGGGGAGGGAGGGGCGACTCCCTAGGCCTCGCCCGCGCGCCGTCAGTGTCCGAAGCCGTACATCTTGTCCCACTCCACGTACGAGTCTAGATCCTTGGGAGAGACCCGGGGTCCAACCTTGGCCAGTGCCGCCTCCAGGTCCTTGTAGGAGAGGGGGCGCTGCAGCCCCGGGAGGCCCGCCCCGGCCGCTGCCTGCTGGCACAACTGCCCCAGCTCTCCCCCGGAGAAGCCCTGGGTGCCCTGCACCAGGGCCGCTAGCTCCTGCTCGCTCAGCACGCAGCCCTGCTGGGCCAGCGCCCGCTGCAGGATCTGTCCTCGGGCCGCACTGTCCGGCAGCGCCACGTAAAAGCGGAGAGCAAAGCGCCGGCGGGTGGCCTCGTCCAGAGCCGCTGGCCGCGAGGTGGTGCCCACGACCAGCACGCCGTCGGACCCCGCGCCGCAGCCGCCTTCCAGGCAGGCCAGGAGCGGCGCCTGCAGCGCACCCGAGGCGGCGCCGTCTTCCCGGGTCTGCAGCAGCGCGTCCAGCTCACTGATGAGGAGCACAGCTGGCGGGCGACAGCGCGCGGCCGCGAAAGCGGCTTGAAGCCGGCGCGCGCCCTCCGCGGCGCCCAGCGCGGCCAGAGCGGCTCCGCGCAGGCGCAGCAGACTGGCGCCCAGCTGCGTGGCCAGGCAACGTCCCAGCAGCGCTTTCCCCGCGCCCCGAGGCCCAAAGAGTAGCACTGTCCGCGGCGGGCGTGGGCTGCCGGGGTAGGCGGGCGGCCTCAGCAGGGGCCACACCAGCTCCTCCTCCAGAGCCGCCTTGAGCGGGCCCTGGCCCGCCACCTCTGCCCACTGCACCGGGGGTCCGCAGTCCAGCATTTTGTTCGTCACCAGCTCCAGGGCCCCTGGGTCCACGCCTTTGGGAGGCTCCTCCGACGGCAAGGCAAAGTTCCCGCGGGGAGCTGGCGCCGGGGCGCGCTCTGCGAACTTTTCAAAGGGCTCGAGTTGTGGGCCGTAGACCGGAAAGCCCAGGACCTTGAGAGAGACGCCGTCGGCGTACTTGCCCGATGCCTCCTCCGCCGCTCCCCGAGGCTTCGCCCGGAACTCATTGCCTCGACACTCGCCGTTGTCCGCCGCAGGGTAGGAGACGCCGTCGGCTGCCGGGGCCTTGGTAGGCTCGTAGACGTACTTGCGGTAGCGGCTCTCTGCGCCCTCATCAGCGGCCTTGCGCTTCAGCGACACCCCAGCCTCTGCACCGGGAGCGGCCGCCTGGAAGCTGTAGGAGGTGGGCGCAGGCCTGGATGGGGCGGGCGCCGGCAGGGGCGTGGGCGCCGCTAGGCCGGAGGGAAGGTAGGGGGTCGGCGGCGGGGCCGGGGGCGGCGGTAGAGCCCCGTAGCCGGGCTGCGCAGCGTAGCCCCCCGCAGAGTAGTTGTACAGAGGACCCGAGGGGCCGTAGCCCGGCGGAGGCGGAGGCTGCAACAGCGCGGCCGGCGGCGGCGGGGGCATTGTGGTTCCGGTCTGCGAGCAGTAGCCGGGGGCCAGGTACCCGCCGCCGTAGCCTGCGGCGTATTCAGGCGCCGCGGGAGGGGCCCCGCACGCATTGCCGGGGTAGAGGGGTTCAGGAAGGTTCCCGGCTAATACCGGGGAGCTCCCGAGGCCCCCGGAGCTGCCCCCACTGCCTGGCTTCGTTCCCGGGAGGCCTTCGTGGAGTGATGCCAAGGGGTAGTGTGGCTCTGGCCCTGGCCAAGGCTCGGGGTCTCCCTTGGCGCCGTTGAGGAAAGCGGCATCGCCGTAGCCGCCCAGGGTAGGGCGCTCGTAGGGCGAGTCCAGGACCCCTGAGTATTTCTCCGCGTAGCGCTTGAGGAGGTTGGAAGCAGTAAGGGCAGAGATGTCGTCGTGTGCCCAAGCATAGTGGCAGCGCTGGCGACCCCCAGGAGGCAGCTCCAACTTGTGGGCTGGTGATGGTGTGGTCGAGGAGACGTCCAGGTGCTGCTCTGGCCACTGGTTGAGGGGCTGGGCGTGTTCCGGTGTCCAGTGCATCTTCAACAGAGCTGTAATAGAGGAGTGAGTAGTGAGACCCTTCAGAGCCCACCGACCGCTGGCCAACCCACTGAGACGGCAGCTTGGGGCAGGCTGGTTCTGCCGTCCAGGACACACTGTCCTGACTTTCAAACCCAATGTGTGAAGAGTTGCTATACACGTATGCTCTGTCCTGATCTCTCTAGTGCATTAAATGCAGTCTCAGTTGGGTGCTTCCTGACACAACCAGCCTCCCCCACCCTTGCTTTCCTTCCCTCCCCACTCAGAAAGGTCGGGGTAGCGCTGTCTCCCTGCCCCACCTGCAGGCCAGTTAGTCTTGCTCTTACACAGGGACTCTGGGCCTACCTGTGGCCCAGTTTACAAGCCCCTGCCATTCAGCTTCCTGCATGACGGACCTCCCGCCTCACTCCCAGGTTCACAGACTACATTCCAGCCCTCTACATCACCTGAGTTGGAACTGAGGCAAGTCCCTGGGACTGGGGAAAACCTGTGAGCTTTGAATCAGGGAGGCCTGGGTTTGAATTCAGAGTCAGTTAGTGTATGACCTTGGTCAGGCTCCCCACCCTGTCTCAGGGAAGCTCAATTCCTCCATCTGTTAAAGGGCATAACTTAGGCCTCTCGGAGTGGTCTTGAGGATTCAAAAAGATCATGTATGTAAAGTATGCAGTCCAGTGTGGGGCACAAAGTAGTGTGATAAATGGTACAATTAAGAACGAGCCACTGCTCCAGTCCTCCAGTCCACTGGAACAGTGGCTCGTTCTTAATTGTACCATTTATCACACTACTTTGGAGAACATTCTGTGAGGGTGGTTCATTCCGGCTGATGGGACAGAAGGGTCCTCGTGCTGTTTCCCAGCACCTCAGGCAGGGCCAGCCCTGTTCTGTGCTTTATCTGATATAGCCCTCACAGCAGCCCCATAAGGTCAATGCTGTTGTCATCATTCCCATTTTACAGATGAGGAAACACAGACCGATGCAGCCCCAAGGTCACACAGCCCTTACATAGTAGAGCAGGATTCTTAGGGCACCAGTCAGACCAAGGAGCCCAGACCCTGTCTCTTGGCTGCGCTTCCTCCCTGGTCCAGTGCTGTGGGTACTTGGTGCTAGAAGAGCCCAAGGCCATGACCTAGTCTACATCTCTTCCTTGGTCCTGTGGAAACGTATGTCTGTGTTTGCGTGGGAATGTGGCTGTGCCTCACATCTATACACAGGGTCCAGCACAAATAACACCCCTTTTTATTACAAAATCTTTTATTCCCAAATCATAAGCATGTAATTCTGTAACGTAACAATATCACACTCAAGCACACTATATGGCATTTTAGGTGAAATGTTCAAATTAAGACTTTAAATTATTACACCCATGTTATTATCCTCCCAACCACACTCACGCAGGCCTTACTTCTGCTGGACCCTGTGTACTTACCCTCCAGACCTGCGGTTGGAAGCACCAGTTTGGGTTAGGGGGCTGTGAGCCCACGTTGCCTGCGCCCTCCATGCAGGAGAGTTTGTGTTCTCTCACAGAAAAACGGCCCAAGTCGAGCTGCCCCTTTCCCCATAAACTTGCCACCTGATAAGCATCCGCACCCCTAAACTGGCTATGCAGTCCCTCATCTGGGCCTGTGGGCTTCCCTAGGGGAGGCTAGGCTCTGCGGACCAAAGGCAGCTTTCTGCAACTGCACCCACGGGGGAGTGGGCTCAGGTTCCTGAAGCAGCTTTCTCTGCAGACCCTTGGAGGCCAAGTGCCTCCTACACATAAGAAGCTGGGTCCACTTGACTCCAAAACTTAGGCCATCAGTAAATGGTAACAGAAGGAATTACTAGATGGAAGGGTAAGTAAAAAATTTCTTACATGCCCACCCCTCATTTTTAGGAAATGTTCTAGCATCAATGAGAGAAGTGATTCAGCCTCTACAAATGGCCAGAACACTCAGTGCACCGACCTCAGTCCCCGTGGACCTTTCCAGTCCCCATGGACCCAGGAAGGGCATTCCCTGCGCCAGGTCTGACACCGGTTGTGATAGTGTGATTAAGAAATACATATTTAGCCATAGCTGGTGTGGCTCAGTGGATTGAGCGCTGGCCTGTGAACCAAAGGGTCGCTGGTTCGATTCCCAGTCAGGACGCAAGCCTGGGCTGCAGGCCAGGTCCCCAGCAGGAAGTGTGTGAGAGGCAACCACACATTGATGTTTCTCTCCTTCTCTCCCTCCCTTCCCCTCTCTCTAAAAATAAGTAAATAAAATCTCTTTTTTTAAAAGAAATGCATATTCGACTTACAGACAGCCCCCGGCTCACAGTTCCAAAACCCTTGGAATCCCCTAAGCATAAGAGCAATGGGAACATACTTTGCTGTTTGGCCTCTCGTCCTCAGTTCCTGAAGTAGCTTCCAAGCCGTGGGTAAAACGGATGTCTTAGTTATTCATAGCAAGCCATTTTCAGCCACACCTGAGTTTATAGTATTAAGGTAATTTTTGGAAAGCCCTTAGTTAACCCAAGGATGGAGGGTAGTTGCCAGGGAAACCAGCCAATTAGATGGTTGGAACTTTCAGCCCCTCCCCACCCCCACTCCTGGGAAAGGAGAGGGCTGGAGACCCAGCTCAGTCGCCAGTGCCCAGTGATTTATCAGTCATGCCTATGTAATGAAGCCTCTACAAAAAATGGAAAGGGTGGGGACTCCGAGAGGTTGTGGTTGGGGTGGTGCCCGGGGAGTGGGCCCGGAAGCGCTGCACTCCTTCCCGTGTTCCTGTGCGTCTCCCACTGTGGCGGAGTTACATTCTTTTGTAATAAACTGGTAATCTGCTAAAGTAAACTGGTTTCTTGGGTTCTGGGAGCCACTACAGCAAATTAATTGAACCCAAGGAGCGGGGTGGGAGGGGGAATGGGAACCTCCAATTTACAGCCTGTCAGAACCCAGGCGACAGCCCCAGCTTGCAAGTAGCATCTGAACTGGGGCAGTCTTGTGGGACAGAGCCCTTACCCAGTGGCATCTGATGCTGTCTCCAGGTAAAGAGTGCCAGAATTTAGCTAAATTTGTAGGACACCCAGCTGATGTTGCAGAATTGGCTGGTGTGGAAAACCCACACATCTGGTGTCAGAAGTGAAGCGGTGCCGTGGGAGGGTAGAGGGACTGTGTTTTCCCCTCACCCACACCCGCCTGCCCCCTTTCATGGCATCCTGGGGCAGCGAACCCTGGGAGCTGTCACTGCAGCCTTGGGCAAGACACCTCATCTCTCATGCTTCACTTTCTTCAGTTGTCAAAGCTGGTGCAGGTGGTGGACCGTAGGCTTCTCTCCCACTGGGGGCCCTGAGTAGTAAACCGTTACATGCTGCGGTGGTAAAGGACCCCAGCCATGCAGCGTCTGTGCCCCCCTCCAACTCCTTGAGGAGGCTGCTAACACCCCTTCCAGTCTTACAGAAATTCTGTGAATCAGAATTCCATTACCCATGGGGAGGGAGGGTAGTGGACCGAACAGGGCTGGGGCCTGGGCAGGGTAGGAGGGGCAGCTGTGTGGCGGCTCCAGTCCTGTGTGGAAAGGGGCTGATGCAGCCCCTCTTGAGCAGTCTCCCCAGGGCTCCATTATCTCAGCCTGGGACAAAGGGGCTGGAGTGGAGAATCCCATTGTTGGCCCTCATATGGAAATCTCATTAATCTATTCACCGCAGCTCCCACAGGCCTTTTGTCCCAGGCTTTTTGTCTACTGCTCACAACTGCTGCCCCAAGGGGGTCTCCGGTGGCCTGGCAGAGCTCGTGCTGGACTGTGTCCCCCTCCACTGGGCCCTGCCCCCTCGTGCCAGCCCCTGCTTACTGCAGGAGGAAAGGGAGGGCTGACAAAAGGACTCCAAAGGACCAGTCACCTGCCACAGCCCTGGCACCCACCACACAGGAATCTCTCCCCGGTCTCTGCCAGACAGCAGCCCCCAACACAGCCAGATCCCCACAGCCCTGCCTGGGGGACCCTCTAGGGCAGGGCCTAGCAATAAACATTTAGGGGTGAACCCAAGGAGGCCAGAGAGGCAGCTGCAAACGCTCCTTGCAAGGGCCCCAGCCCCTTCTCTGCGGGTAGACTGTCCTGCTCCCGCCGGCCTGCCGGCCAGTGCTTCACAACACCTCTCATGTGTGGCTCCACGGGCCAGCTGTCAGAAATGCTGGCCCCATTCATGGCAAAAAATGGAAAGGATGGGGATTCAGACTGAGGCTGGACCAGTCTCAGTCTCTGTCAGGTGACAAAAGGGAAGGTGAAAAGTTGTCATGGAGGGAGGAGAGGGGATGGAGGGAGGGAAAGAGGAAGAGAAAGGAAAGATGCGTTTGGAGGGTCAGAGGCAGTGGGTGCTGGTTTTGGAGGGGTTCAGGGCAGCACCTAAAATGGGTGGGAAGATGGAAAGCACTGGGGTGTGTTCCTGGACTTGAGGTTGGGGGAGGGGGGTGGACCAGAGCCGAGCAGGCATGTGGGCACATTGTGTTACCACTCACTCACTGTCCACAATGCCTCACCCAAGTGGGTACTCTTTACAGATGATAAAACTGAGTCCCAGAGAGGAGGCGTGGCTTGCCCAGGGTGGGGATGGGGGCTTCCTCCCTCTGGCCAGTGTTTTTCCCACCTCTATAGGCTGTGGGAAGACAGGGATACAGGTTGAGGAGCAGACCCCTGAGGGGAGGAGAGGTCCCGGCACAGGGTCTGAACGCTGTTCCTTCATGTCCGGATGCTCCTTGGGTGGCAACATGGGGAACCTGGAGCTGGGGGAGGGGAGGGAGCATAGGAAGGTGAGGAGGAGGCTGCATGCTGCGATCTCCAAGGAGCAGGAATGTCCGGGACAGGTGTGTCACTGTCAGGTTGGCTCTCTTTGTGTCTCAGGGCAAGTTGCTCGTCCTGTTTACCGTCTGTGAACATCCCAGGCAGCTTTGGTTCTTCCAACAATGCAGTGCAAGCCAGCTTTCCTCTCCATGCATGGGACCCAAAGAAATCAGGAAAAAAATCAGCCCTGCTCATTCAGACCTACATGCCTGTGTTCACACAGTCCACCCTTGGAGGTGCCCTCCCTCTCCCAGCCACCTAACTCATTCCCATCCTTCAAGCCCCCCTCCCCGGCCCCTCCCACAAGCCCTGCCGCCTTCATGCATCCTCCCAGGCCTTTCCAGCCCTAACCCACCCCTTGCCTTCTTGGGAAAGCTGCAGAAAGTCCCTCTTGACAGCAAGAACAGGAGATGTTCTTCCTCCGCACCGATTCCACCCCCTTTCAACACTCAGGGCCACTGTTCCCATGTTCTCCCCTCTCCTGCGCCACCAGTTCCCCTGTTCTCATTCTCATCAGCCCACAAACATGCTGCTGTTCTCCCATCTTAGGGGGGTAAATGTTCAAAACCATTTGATCAACCTCCAACTATACATCCTATTGCTCTTTGCTTGCTTTTAAACAAAAACCAGTTTCAGAGACCCCTGTGTGACTACTGCTGATTCCTTCCCCCCATGCTCTTCGGAACGCCTGCCACCCAGGCTCTCGCACTTGGCACTGCAGCTGCCCGCTCGCCTGCACGGGCCTGGTGCTTGACGCTCCGGTGGGGCTCCACTCGGCAGCACTGGGCTCAGCTGACAACCCTCTGTCCTGAAACCTCCTCACTGGACTCCCTGCCCCCCCTCAGCCTTTGTCATGCCCTCCTTTCACCCCCTCCCCCTGAGCCTTACAGAGCCCAGGGCTCAGTCCTTGGAACCTTCTCTCCACATTAACTCCTCGGAGACCCCCTCCGATCTCCTTGATCATTGTCTGTACCTTGAGGATTCCTGTAAGTGGTTCTCCAGCCTAGTTTTCCCCTATGTGCTTCCCACCAGTGTATTCAGCCTTCGTACTGACACCTCCATTCCAATATTTAATTACCACAGTTGACGTGTCCAAAAACCAAATTTCTGACTTCCTCATCCCCCTCCCTGTCCTCTCATCTCATAAAACAGCAGCTCCACTCCTTCAAGCTGCTTAGGCCAGAACCCTTGGGGTCCTCTCTAGCTCTCACATCACAGACCAGCCAGTCACATTGGCGCTGGCTTCAAAAATCTCCCCAAACTGCAACCGCTTCTCACCACCTCCAGCGCCACCTCTCACTGGACGCCTGCAGCAGCCTCCTGTCTCGCCTCCCAGTTCCCACCCTTGTCCCCCACTCCACTCCATATTCTCAACACAGCAGCCACCACGACCCTTGAAAACACGTTTGATCGTGCTGTTCTTCTGCCCAGAATGTCTAATGGCTCCTGTCTCATTCAGAAGAAAGGCCAGAATCCTCACTGTGGCCTACCAGGTCCTTGTGATCTGTTTCTGCTTCCCCTTACCTCTGGGCCTCCCTCCAGCCTCCCTGGCTTCCTCACTGATCCCCACACCCAGCTTTCTTGCACCCTTGACTTTGCTGTGCTCTGCGCCCGAAACACTCTCTCCCCAGGTCTCTGTTCAGCTGCCACCTCACTGTCCCCCTCAACCTGATGGTCTGTGTAGTGCTCATCATAAAGCTGAGCTACTTGTTGCTTCATTTTCTTGTGCCCACTGGGAAGTTTTGTTCACTCATATTCCAGGCACCTAGGACAGTGCCTGGCACACAATAAGTCCTTAATAGACTCTGTAGAATAGAAGGATGGTTGGATGTCTAATGAGCCAAGAGGCTTGAAATTGCCTCTGGGTCCAAATAAAAAAAAACTGGGGTGACTAGATCTGAGCCCAGTGAGATGGTGAGGATGGCAATTGGCAGAGCCAGGCAGTCCCCTCGGGGCAGACAGGGAAGGGCACCTGCTGCTAAATGGCACCCAGCTGCCAGGCATCCCACCTGGCCTCCTTTTTTTCTCTTAAAAATTTTTTTCCTCCTTCTCTCTTTCCCCAGCCAGGCCTTGGGGAGAAGACAAAAGGGGCAATGGAATTCCCATCAAAGGCCACCGGACACATGGTAAAGAGATCAGGGCCCTTGGGACCCTGCTTCCTCAAGGTAGCGGGCTGCCCGCCCGTCCCGCTCCTCTCTGGGGTGGGGGTGGGTGGGGGTGTGCCCTGGACTCCTCAGATGTCAAATGCCAAACAGCAGGAGGTCAGCCTGAGTGAGGCCAGCCAGCGGCCCTCATCTGGGCAGTGTGCACAAGCACGGGGTGGGGGGGGGAGTGCAGAAATCCCTGCCTATGTCCTCGGTCAGGGCCACAGACAGGCTGTGACCATCTGCTGTCGTTCTGAGAGGCCAGGCCAGGGGCCCAGCACCCTTGAGGAGAACCCTTCCCTTTCTCCCAGCCTCCTGGTGTTCGCAGACGTTCATGGTTACCACTCAGTCACTCTCACAGCCGCCCTGCCAGACACTCACATTCTCCCCATTTTACAGAAGAGGAAGTGGAGGCTCAGAGGGGGCTGGTGGTTCTCCCTAAGGTTTTAACACCTAGTAGGAGGGGAAGCTGGGACTCAGGACATTCTGCCACCCCTCCCTCCTCCAGCCTTGGCCAAGGTACCTAGGCACCCAACACAGGGCCCTCTCAGAGCTTAGCTCTTAAGCACAGCTCCAGTCCAGGCCTGCCTTCAGCCCCCTTCTTCCAGGAAGGCTTCTAGGACTGACAACTCCATGGAAATCCCTAAGATGCTGAAAAGTCTAGGGCTCCATACAGCCATTCCCGTCCCACCATGGGCTGTTGGTCTGTCCCTGGATGTTTGCCCCATCATAGCCCAGGACCTGTTAAAAGTAGCTCAGCTGGCCGTAGGAGGAGAAGGTCCCCAAGCTGCGTATAACCCACACTGGGGCTGCTGGTCTGATAGATGGGGGAGGGAGCACTGACTCTTGGAAGAGCCCTGCCCAAGGTCACAGCCAGAAAGGGGTTTGTACCCAAAGGTTTGGCTGCCGTCCCTCAACACAGACTCTAATTCTGTGCTTTTCACATCTTAACCATTGGCCACAAGTGGCTATTTAAATTTAAATTCACTAAAATCTATTAATTATTTTACAGTCAAAATTATTATTAAAAATAAAAATGTATTATTGAAGTTATATTACATGAAAATTTCAGTTCCTCTCCCTGGCTGGACTGCTCAGGTGGTTAGAGCATCACCCCGATCTACCAACATTGTAGGCTCAGTTTCCCGTCAGGGCACACACAGGAAGCAACCATGAATGCGTGACTACATGGAACAACGAAACCTTTTTTTCTCTCTCTTTCTGCCTCTCCCCCCTTTATTCTCTCTCTAAAATCAATAAATAAAAATGTTTAAAAAGATCTCAGTCCCCAACAGCACTAGCCACACTCAGCACTCAGCAGTCACGTGTGCGTGGTGCCCGCAGCCGACCTCGCAGACACGCAGGGTTCCCGCCATTCTCCCGGACGGCGCTGCTCCCACCCCAGCCAGCAGCGGGCTCTGCACCCCGGGTGCTTCCACTGCGGCTGGAACCCCGCTGTAGCTTTCTCTTGAACGTGGAGCCTCACTTCTCGGGATCTCCGGGTGGACTTCCCTAGCACTCGGACTCCTTCCTCAGCGCTCCTAAGCAGTTTAATGGCGAGGCTGGGCTCCGGCTTGCCCAGGAAGGATGGAGGATGGGCTAGCTGGACCAGCCACTCCCCGCCAGCCCAGCCTGCCCTGCCTGCTGCCAGGAAAGGAGGGGCAGGCCGAAGAGGAGGGAGCAGGGCAGGACAGGGTAGTTTGTCATCTGGCCCTTTGGGCTGTGCTTCCTTCCCTCCCCTGTCAGCTACTGGACACCCATCCCCCCTGGTTAACCATCCTCATCCTCATCAAATCCCAAGGACAGATGGGAGCCGGCCGGGAGAAACGTGACCACAGTGAAAGCACTCTCAAATGGCACCAGAGTCCAGGGGTCACAGCTGTGTCCCCCGAGGCCTGCCCAGGCCCTCATGTCCGGCCTTGTGTCAGCCAGGCCTGGGCTAAAGAGAATCTCAGTGAGGGGGAGAGGAGCCACTTAGGAATCTTAGGAGGAGGTTTAGGAATCTGTAGGTGCTGGATTATTCCAGCAGGCAGAACAGCAGTTAAAAAACAGTCACTCATCCATCCGTCCATTCAGCACACACTGAGCAAGTCCCCACCATGTCAAGATATGAGGAGAGGATATAGAGATGGACAGGTAGGCTCCCTAACCAGCCTGACCAGGTAGAGACAAGGTTTATTCTGGTCTTAATCCTTGTTCCAGGCTGGATGAAGATCCTTTGTCCCTGCCCAGTGGTGTGAGCAGGCTGGACACCTTACACCCCCTCCCCACAAACAGGCCTGTGCATGAGAGAGCGGGCGGGGGCGTGCACGCGCGCGCGGGCACACACACACACACACACACACACAGAGCTGCTGTTGCCAGGAACCGTACCCCCCCCCCATGATCTCTGGCCAATCACAGCACTAAAGAGTAAGTCCCACTGCCTGGTGGCCCCCAGGGAGTATATTAGCACATTTGAACCGCTCAACCTGCAATGACAAAGCCTGGGGCCCTGGGAGGAGACACAGCAGGAGGGGTGGGGGGCACTGTGGGGAGCTCTGCTCCCTCCCTTCCCAGGGAAAAGCTCAGGACTAGATTAAGCATTCTGGGGCACAGAGGAATTTGGGGGCCTCAGCTCCAGCAGTGAATAAGCGATCCATAAAATCCTGATTTACACACTCACTGATCAAACGGCCCATCCACCACCCCAGGAGGCTGGGGCTTGCTCCGAGGCTCCCCCTACTTTTGTAGAAGGTTCTGCGGAGCCAGGAGCTGGACCCAGGACACAGGTGCCAAGGTTTTATCTGCAGACACAG